TCTTTGTTCTAGTTCTGAATTGAACTAAGTAGGGAAATACATATACCAAAGATATTTTCTCCCCTGGTAACACTGTTTAGTCATTTATTGCTGGGAAGTCTCTTGAGTGAAAAATCTGAAGTTTGATTCTGATAGATGGCTTAAATTAAACTCATGTGGTAAAAATTACCCAGTGGGATCATCAGAATAGAGCTAACTTTGTTTAAAAGCTCTGAAATGATCTGGCACCCATGAGGAAAAAAAAAAAAAAGATAAAACTCACTAATTAGGAAACTTATATTATTAAAAGAAATTTTAAAAGGTGTAAATAAATTAAGTAAATAAATGGAAGACTGAATTTCCTAAAGATGCCAGTTAATTGTACGTTGGCCATAACTCGAAAACAATTCCAATCAAAATTACAACATTTTTGTGTGTGAACTTCACAAGCTGACTCTAAAATTTATATGTTAGAGTGAAGGACAAGCACAGCCTAGAAGCTTCTGAAGAAGAAAAAACTGCCTTTATTTCAAAAACTATTACTAAAATATACCAAATGACCAAGATTCTATTATTTCAAGGAAAGACCAATAAAACTAAAGAGTGAGCCCAGAAATAAACATGTACCTAACTTAAGACACAAATGATGTTGCACATGTGAGAGAGAAGATAGTGGACTTTTCAGTAAGTGTTCTAGGACAAATTATTAGTCATTTAGGAAAACAATAATAAAAAGCAGACTCTTACCCTATCACTATATATGATGTTAAATCTGGGTACGTCAAAGATATAAAATAAAAAGCAAAACTACACTCTATAGGATAATATCTTTATGCCCTGTATAAAGGTAGAATTTGATTAAACAAAACACAAAAAATGCAAACTTCAGATGAAAAGATTAGTAAAATGTATTAATCTATCAAGACTTCTATCAAAAGTCAATGTAAAGGAAGTGAAAGGAGAATTGCACATGGAAGATGATATTTTTCAGTATATACAAAAGGCAAATGATTAGTCAATGTCCAAAAGATAAAAATAAAAAGAATTCACAATCTATAAGAAAAGGAGAAATAAATAACCAACAGAAAAGATGAGGAAAAGTCTTAATAGATAATTCACAGAAAGGAAATTTGATCAACCAATGAAAGATGCCCAATCTGATAAGTAATTACAGAAATGAAAGTTAAAAACCATAATGGGAGTCACTTATAATTCAGTACAGTGGGGAAAAAAATGTTTGTTAACTAGAACACTTACTACTTCTGGTAGGTACAAATTGGTAGAACCACTTTGAAAGCAATTTGGCATCATCTTTGTACTCTTTTGTGCCTTTGGCTTTGCATTTTTTCCCATAAATTTAAGGAAATAATCAAATATTTATTTTGTCTTTCTGCATGCACTGAATTCTATTTTAGGGTAACCAACTAAGTGATGAGGAAAAGTTATTCTCTATGGAAGAATTCTAGCTAAATAATGCAGAATGAATTCTAGAATTAGAGAATTACCATTATACAACCCTTAGTAAAAACATTTAGGTAGCTTTTGTTATTGTATTCTAAAACAATTGGAGTGAAACAATGGGGAACTTTATAGTGGAGTGATCAGACTGACACCACCTGAACTCACTGATCAAGCTCACAGAGCTTCACTTATTAAAAATGGTTACCTAAAAAAAAAAAAAAAATTGAAACTGGATTTTATCAAGCCAGTTGACAGGAAATAGAAGGATAGAGGTAGGATGTAAAACAACAGCGTGTTTTCAAGTGATCAGTCACATTTTGAATATGAGACATTTCTTGGGATAAATGACATGGTTTCTCCAGCAAATCAACAGCATAAAAAAATAAAAAAGAAGGAAGGGACTGTTATATAGTAAAAGAATGACAGAAAACAGAATAAGAAAACACAATATTATTTGGATTTTGATGTGGTCAAATCAACTGTGAAAAGATAACTTTAAAACAATCAATGAAATATGAATAAGGACTAACTAGGTATTAAAGGATATTAAGGAATTATTTGTTAGGTATTTTCTGTTAAAATGTTATCAGATAAAGATTCATACTGAAATATTAGTATGAACAATTCATATAGGTGAAATGACACATCTTACATTCGCTTGAACATAAACAAAGATGTTAAGGTTATAGAATCTGGTATTTTTAATAAATTATTAGTTACGGAGGGGTGGTAGAGAGGAAGAGGTCTAGAATAACATCTGGATTTTGACTTGGGTTGCAAGGGTGGTGCCATTTGCCAAGATGGAGGATACAGAAGCAACAGAAAACTACAGAGATTGAGGTGAGTTTAATTTTGAAAATAAGTTTTAGGTGCTCATGGGATACACAGAAGTTTCTCTGAAGTAAGCAGTAGGATAACTGAATATGAAATAAGAAGAACAACTATCTAGAAAAGTGTTCAAATCACCCAGGAGAATGTAGGAATGAATGGTAGGAAACAAAATCTACGGATGAACTCTAATGAATGCCGACGTGTATGAAATAAACAAGGGGAGAGTTCAATGAGGGATTCTGAAAATAAAAAGAGTATTTGAATAGTTTTGAGAAGAAAGAATTACTCAGCATAATGATTAATCAACACTAATCAAATACTGTAGAGAAGTTAAGTAAGAGAAGAACTGCAAACAGTCCATGGGATTTTGAATTTGGCCGTCACTGGTGATGTTAGCAGGAGTCGTTCCATTTGAATAATGGTGGCACAGAACTAATTACCATGGGTTAGCGCCTACATGAGAAGTGAGAATTGGAGACACTTGTTATTTTGAGGAGCTTAGCTGAAAACCGAGAGAGGCAGTGCAAGAGTTGGAGGGCAAAAAGGGATTTTTAATAGAAATAATCTTTTTCTAACGGAATGGCTTCTTCTTTTTTAATAGAAATGGCTTCAGCATGTTTAGAGGCAAGATAAAGGAGTCAGCTGAGAGTGAGTTTGGGAATTTTTAAAAACGGGGAACAGATGAAATATAGCTTCAGTGGAAAGACGGATGGAAAGCATCAAACACAAGCTGAATCAATTAGCTCTAAACAGAACAAGTAGTTATTTTTTCCCTGAATCTGTAAAAATTGTGTGAGACTAGATGCATGTATAAAGGAAATATTTCACTTGGTAAGAATGAACTATTATTTTCTTTTCAAGAAATAAATTAATTCTTTTTTATTGTTGTTATATTAATCACCATACATCACATCATTAGTTTTTGATGTAGTGTTCCATGATTCATTGTTTGCCTGTAACACCCAGTGCTCCATGCAGTACGTGCCCTCCTTAATACCCATCACTAGGCTAACTCATCCCCCTCCCCCCCTCCCCTCTAGAACCCTGTTTGTTTCTCAGAGTCCATAGTCTCTCATGGTTTGTCTCCCCCTCTGATTTCCCCCTTCATTTTTCCCTTCCTGCTATCTTCTTCTTCTTCTTCTTCTTTTTAACATATAATGTATTATTTATTTCAGAGATACAGGTCTGTGATTCAACAGTCTTACACAATTCACAGCACTCACCATAGCACATTCTAAAAGCAAAGGGTGCAGCCATCTAAGGTCAGACTTATGTTGTTTCAGAAATGTCACCGGAAAAAAGCCCAAGTCATTCTTAGGCATATATTCCTTCATGGTTCTTGGGGAAGTGTAGGTCTTGCTGTGTTAGAAGAATGTGTGCCAGTTTGCAGGAAATTGGCCCTCTGAGAGGTGGGCTAATGGACAAGATAGCATGATGGTGTGCCAGGAGTCAGGAGAAGTCATATTCTGAACATGGATGGTGGGCCCAAGGACCAATGGCTGCCAGAACAGAATTGTGACTGAAAATAATCAGAAGGGCACTCTGAGGGGAACTCTGGTTAGGGAGGAAGTCTGTTTTGGTTGACAAAGAGACAGATCAGTTGGTAGTTTCTATGCTTAGATTCAATGTAATCTGTGATTTGTGAGGCAAATCACACATTGAGAGGAGTCAGTGTCAGCAGCTGACAACAAAGATCTTGAGGGAGTGGTGAAGAGTTAGTATATTTTTGGAAATTTTTTAGAGTATTTTTGGATATCCACACCTTAGTGAAATTTCCTAAAATTTCCTCCAGCGGAACCCAGGAATTCAGTTACAGGTGCTGGGGGGAACAAAAAAAAGTCCCTCTATCAATCTACCTTTGAAGTAAGCAGGACAGATACAGCCAAAGCTCAAAAAGATTATTACAGAGAGAAGTTAAATGACGTGCCATGCATCTAGGTGGGGTCAGAAAAAGGGTAGGTCCATTAAGGTGGTGATGGGTTAAGAAGTCTTTAGATAACAGCAATAAGGATGGATAAAAGACAGCAGGAATGTCGAAGGAGGAGAGCGTTGTTACAAGTGTCAAATAATCTGGATATAGAGGACAGTTCAAGGAGAATGCTGCTACCACTTCTGGATTCTATGGAAAGTAAAAGAATTTAAAAATTAGCTTGAGACCTACTACCAAAGGGATAGAAGAGTTGATCTGTGAATCAACTGACAGTATAGAGCAGATCATATGTGATAGGATGAGGTCTCCAGAGAAAGGGGTAGGGGTCAATAATAAAAAGAATGATGAGTGGGAAGGAATCCCAGAATAGGCCAGTAATGAGAGTAAATGAGGGCATGCTAGTCAAAGGCTTGTACTTTGGTTGGTGGCCAAAGAAAAGAGGGGGGAGAATGTGTTAGGTGGACTGTTCTTGAGGCTCCTAAGCAGACCAAGTCCCAAGTGGTCCAAGACCCTTATGAGATTAGCCATTTTTAGGCTCTACTTGTCATTTAAAAGTAATGTCACTGGGAATTTACTTACCTCATCTCTGAAAAGTTCTCTTCCTCAGACTGTTGATGGAAAAAGTGCATCTCTGTTCATTGCCCATTTAAATTTTTTATTCAAGCAACTCTTACCACATTCCATATATATATGTCTCTTCCACTCGAGGCAGGATATAGAACATAAAATAAGAATCTTTTACCATGCCCCTGAGGAGCTTGTTCTCTTACTGAAGGTGTGAGAAGTACATACAATTTACCTCATATCTGTGGGTTTTGGAAGAAGTCTTCTTTTTCCACTAAAGTAGACTTCAAAATCTTCGATCTTTAGCCTGTGGGCATAGTCAATGTATCCTGATATCTCCTGCCCATGAGAATTTCTGTCACGAATAAAGATCACGGTCTGGTAGCACACACAAAAAAAGATGGAGAATGGAAAGAATAAGTGAATAAAAGTCATTTGAATGTATTGCATAAGATAATAAAAGCTACAGTTTTTGAGTGTTACATGTGCCAGACCCTATTTTAAGTGCTTTATGTTTCACCCTTACCATGATCCTATGAAGTAGGTATGATTATTTACTCTTGACAAATGAAGAAATTCATGAAAAGTTAACTGTGCAGGCGTATAATGTGCATTTACAGTAATTTTATATGACAATATCAATAAATAACTTACAGAGGTCTTCCAAAGGGCAGACATTATTTTAAGTGTTTGCAGTACATTCACTTATTTCCTTTTCTCCCAATCCTGTTGTCTTCTCTTTGTCATAATTTCTTTAAATAAGAAAACTAAGGAACAGAGAGGTTGAGTACCTCACTCAAGGTCTCACAGCTAGTAATGGAAAAATTGAGATTAAAACCCAGGCTCATGTGTTTGTCTCTCTAATCACTACATCATTTTTCCATCTCAACTCCTATATATTTTCTGTTATAGAGATATAAATTGGTCCCTTATTACCACGAGAGTCAAAAAATCTCTTTATAAAATTAAAATCTCTTTATAAAGTTACCTTACAAATTAAGTCCGTAAGTCAAAATAAACAGCAAGTACATATTTCTCATTCATATTAATTCCTGCACGAATATCATTGTGCACCTAGTTGCATGTTAGGTACTGTTGTAGGTGCCACGGATATAAGACAGCCAGCACCCTGGCCTCTCAGAACGTGTGCTTTGGTGAGGGGAGACAGATGAGATATGAAAAGGAAAAAAGTACTTCCAGTGAGTGATAAATGCCACAAAGCAAATAAAAAACATGGTTGACTAGACAATGAAGTCATCAGAGAGGGAGAAAAACCATGAGAGACTCTTAACTCTAGGAAACAAACTGAGGGTTGCGGGAGGGGAGGTGGGTGGGGGGATGGGGTAACTGGGTGATGGGCGTTAAGGAGGGCACGTGATGTGATGAGCACTGGGTGTTACATGCAACTGGTAAGTTATTGAACGCTACATCTGAAACTAATGATGTAATATATGTTGGCTAATTGAATTTAAATAAAAAATTAAAAAGAAATAAAGAACATGGTTGACTAGAGAATGAATTGGTGGTGGTGAAGCCTACTTTGGGTAATCAGAAAAGACCTTGAGGAGGTCTTCTTTTAATTTTTATTTAATTTTTTAATTTTTTTTAATTTTAATTTAAACCAAGACTTGAAGCTTGAAGGATGAGAAAGAGTCAGGCATGTAAAGATCTAGAACAGGGGCCTATCAGGTGAAGGGAACAACTGGCATCAAGGCCCCTAAGTGGAAACCAACTCAGGCAAATGGAAGATTTGTCGTCTTTTCTCTTTATCAAGCCAACAGACATTGATCCTCGAGCTCTAAGAGAAAAAACGAAACAAGCAAACAAACAAAAGAAAACCTATTGTAACCGGGAAAGTTCTTAATGTCTTTATTTCCAGATCTAGTTCAAAGTGCAGAATTTCATGGCAAAGTTCTACATTTGGAAGAAATTGTCAACAAGCCTTCCTTTTCCTCTCCAGCAACCACTAGATGGTTACTTGCTGGGTCTCTGTGTAGTCAATTACAGGAAGCACTAACATGAGTTACCTACCTTAACAGAGCTTCCAAAAAGGTGAACTGAGAAAACGGAAAGAATTCTTTTCCCCTCTGCACCTGAGAAAACATGTTGCTAACAGTGTCCCAATTGAAAAACACAAGAACAAGCCACAAGGTACTGTTAGTTGTTATTTTGTTAAATTGCATTTTCCTTCCTCCTGTGGTTGTTTGGCACTGGGTGCTGAGGATACCATGCTGGGAAGGATTCTGAGGCATGTCCTTGGCTTAAGGAGAGGAAGGGTGGTGATAGCTTAGTACCATTTCCCACAGATACGGCTCAAGGAGCTAGCATTGTCATTCCTGTGCTCAGTCTTATGTAGATTTGGTCCTCGGTTCTTCTTGTTTCCACCACATAACGATAAGTTAAAATTCTATAGATTTCTCCATAGTTTTTAGCTTTTACAGCACAAATTCTAAAGGGACAGTAACTCAGAGACTTCTTGAGACTCTTACACTACTAAACCCATACCTAATACTGCTATCCCGGCTTAATCAAGGCCACGTGCTAGAACTATCAATGTTCCATAGGCAGTCCTAAAGGTACTTGAAATCTTCATTCCATCAAGGCTGCTCCTGATGTTAAGGCAAGTCACGCAGGCACATAGAGGAAAAAAGGTCCCAAATAAGTCCTCTACTTTTAAAATGGAACTCTATTTTTAAAGATTTTATTTATTTATTTACTGTTTAGAGTGAGAGAGCATGGGAGGAGGAGCAGAGGGGGAGGGAGGTGGGGGAAGAATTTTAAGCAGACTCTGAGCTGAGCGCAGAGCCCAGCACAGGCCTTGATATCATGACCCTGAGATCATAACCTGAGCCGAAACCCCAAGAGTTGGATACTTAACCAACCACCCAGGCAAACCTAAAATGGACCTCTATTAACAGAAAAAGAAAAACAAACAAACAAACCAAACCTCCTCTGTCTGCCTCTGTCTCTCTTTAAATGAGATGGACCAGCCTTATTTTTTCAGCGGAATGGCATACCAAATACTGTAACTGATCTTCCTGCTGAAAGCAAAAATAAATTCTGGATAAAAATCTAAAAAGCAACTTGTAACATGCATTGATGCTCTGTCAAGGAAATGAGGAATACTTAAGAGTCTAAAAATGAAGTGAAAATAGATTCCCAGAAAGGAAAGCAGAGCCCTAGGGCCATCTTTGTCCTGCAGGCATATGCCCAACCACAGGGAATCTTAGCAAAGGTTTCATGATCTTACGAGTTGCAGATGACAGGAGACAAAATCCAGCCTTTCAGGTAGAGAGACTAATAGGACTTACTGCCTCAACATAGGGCAGAGAAATCAAAAAAGGATGAAAACAATCTGTAATGTGTCCGGAGAACAGAAGAATGATTCCAGAATTATAAACCCAGAGAAAATATCTTTCTAGTGAGCAAAATTTGGACATATTCAGACCAAAAAATGAGAGCCTTGACTGATAGAAGACTCTTACTCAAAGAAATCCTAGAAGATGCACAGTTGACCCTTGAACAACATGGGTTTGAACTACATGGGTCCACTTACATGTGGATATATTTTTCAAAAAATACAGTATAGCACTGTAAATGTATTTTCTCTTCCTTATGATTTTCTTAATATTTTCTTTTCTTTAGCTTACTTTATTGTAAGAATACAGTATGTAATACAACATATAAAATATGTTAGTTGACGGTTTATGTTATCAGTAAGGTTTCCAGTGAACTATTAGTAGTTAAGGTTTTGAGGAGTCAAAAGTTTAATGCAGATTTTTGACTCTGTGGTAGGGTTGGTACATTTAACCCTTATATTGTTGAAAAGTCAGCAGTACTTCTGCCAAAACAAAGTGAATCTAACTGAAAGGTCAGCGATAAAGAACAGAATGATCATCAAAGAAAGTAGTTAAATATATAGAAAAATATATAATGTATTGATAGTGTTATGGGCTGAATTGTGTCCCCTCAAAATTCCTGTGTTGAAACCCTGTCCCTCAGTATCTCAGAGAATGTATTTGGACATAGGGCTTTTAAAGAAGTTATTAAGCTAAAACAAGCCCATTTGTCCCTAATCCAATCTGACTTTTATAAAGTCAGAGGATATTTGGACACACAGAGAGACATCAAGGGTTTGTATGCAGAGGAAAGACCATGTAAAGACACAGTGAGAAAGGGGTACCTGCAAACCAAGGAGGAAGGTTTCAGAAGAAACCAACCCTGCCGACCTTGACATCTTGATCTATCTTTGACTAAAGGCTTCGATAACTGTGAGAAAATAAATTTCTGTTGTTTAAGCCACCCAGTATGTGGTTATTTTGTTACGGTAGCCCTAGAGAACTGATACACATGGTAATAAATTAAAATAATTAAGTATTTACAATTAGTGTAAATGGCCAAATGTTTAAGTTGAAAAACAAAGCTTCTTAGAGTGGGTAAAAAAAATATGATACAAAACTTAAGGTTGAAATTTAACTGATGAAATAATATGCATAAGGAAATGTCCAAAAAAGAGCTGGCATCAGCATATAGGTATGAGACAAATGAGCTCGAAGGCAAAAAGCATTCCTAGAGGTGGAGAATCACTAGATAATGATAAAAGATTCAATTCACAGAAAGATAGAGCAATTATAAACTTGAATGAACCTTTGATAACATAGCCTCAAAAATTGATAGAACTACAAGGATAAATAGACAAGTCATCATCACCATGGCAAATTTATCTCTCTCATTAAGTTTTAGATCAATGAAAAATTCCGTAATTATTATAAAGTTAATATACATTGTAAAGAATTAAAAACACAAGCTTGAGTGCTTGGTTTTTACCTTAGCCAAGTACCCAAACATCTTTACTCTTCAGTGTCTGTGGATAAAATGACTGAGAGTGTAAAATTATATGTATGTGTGTGTGTATATATATATATATATAGCCACAATTTCACCATTTTACATTATTATATACAGCCTTCCCATATGAGTTAAAGCCCATTGTCTATGGGAATCTGAGTAAATTACCTCAAATCTCACTTCTCCAGCCTTGTGAGACTTAAATGGATGCTCTGTGATTTTTGTGAATCTAGGGGTTTCCTGAAGCTAGAGAACTTCAAGTCAGGCCAAACTGAGTATAAGCAGGGTTTCTTCCAGGTTCAATCTATGTCCTTGGGTGTGTTGTTCAAACTCTTAACTCCTCTCTATATTCATAAGTCCTATGCCCCTAAGTAGGTTCCTGCAAAATCTAGCAAGTTTCTGCCAAACTGAACTAAACACCTCCAAAACAAAGAAACAAACAAACAAAACCAAAATAAACAAGAGACCAAAATCCTGCTTGGACCTAAAGCATTTAGTTAGCTAAGCCTTCTTGTAGCCTCTCCCTTCTT